CAGGTCAACCAGAACTGCAGTTGTTCTCATATTGGTGGCCATCCCTGGGAATGTTCGAGGTCAGCAACCTGAGCAACCTGGTCTAGTGCCAGATGTCCCTGCCCATGGCTTGGAACTAGACTGTCTTCAAGGTCCCTTCCATCCCAATCATGTTATCATTTCATGATTAGTCTGTGTTAAGTAACCAGGTACACATAATCATAGTGAACAGTCGAATGCACAGATTAATACTCACAGTTTGCTGGCTAGGGCAGAAGATGGCCCTTGTGAAAGTCTGAGGCTTGAAGCAGACTAATTTGCTCAAAACCATGAGAAAGTCTTTCCACTCAAGCAGGTGCCACCATCCCTGCTTGCTCACAGCCTCCTGGCTTCTTTGTCTGAAGCAGCTGGACCTTAATTTGTTGGCAGGAAGGCACTAGAATAAATAGATGACTTTTCCCATCTGATGTCACATTAGACACTGCTTGGCTGTTGTGTGTGTTCTGCCTGGTGGTTTCACAGTCTTTGGGTTCTGCAAGCACTTCTTCACTGGCACAGAAAAATTCCCCCTGATGTGCAAATCCAGTCTCCTGTGCCACAGCTTAGCGTGGCTGAGATATTACATCCTAGCTTGGTGTCATACCAGAGATTTATGTGCTGCTTTGCTCCATTAATCAAACTTAAGATGTTCTGAGAGTTCAGCAGGCAATTTATGTCCCATTCCTGTCAGAGCAGGCTGTGAACATTGCTGTTGTCTGGCTGAAGGGCTCTTCCACAGGTGCAGTTCAGTCCCAAAAAGTTACCAAACAAAGCACAATGCGAGAAGTTTGGCAAAGATTGGCCACTGACAGGTGGATCTGGGGCAATCTGGGCATTGAGAACATCAATTTAAATTGTCACATCGTTCCAGAAACACAAACTAAGCACGGATTTAAAAACAGAGCTCCCACTTCAGACCAGTTCATGGTCCCCACACCAGGTCCATCCTACACAATATCCACCTACACCTTGTCCTTCTGCTGTGGTGGTCAAGCTCTGTGTTGAGGTCCATTGGCAGAGCTCCAGACACACAGACCTGCCACAAAGCCTTGGAAGTGACCCAAAATAGTTATTCAAACTCTAGCAAGCAATACCCAGCTAATTTATGACCTAGCAAACATTTTTAAAGCAGTGTTTTACACATTCTGCACTTTGTTAAAACCACCTAGTGAAGGGAGGGGAACATCTGGCCTGCTGCATCATCTGGTGCAACCCAGACTGGAGAGAAACGAGGGCCAGGACTGTGCAAATATTCAGCCTCATTTTACTGCAGTCCCCACTGCACTCAGTGCTAAGGCCAGGTTGTTTCAGTGCTTAATCAATATATCAATACAGTCAGTAAATGACAAGGAGAGTTCATATTTGTCTTGTTACTCCAAGACTGCTCATAAAGTCAAGTTCACAATCTCATAAAGCAGCCTGTATTATCCCAGTAGCTGGGAAGGAATTCTGCATTGGCTTCCCATAGGCCTGTCCACTGAGAGAACAGGAAAAGATAATAACAGGGTAAGTAAGAGTAAACTGGAATAAAGCCAAAAGTCAGGCCTACAAATCCAGCAGGGCAATCTCAGCTCATAAACATGACCCACCAAGTGGATACTCTGAACAGACTTCTGCCTGACAGAGGCAGACTGATAAACTCGTGGTATGAAAACACCATGAAGTTTTCACAGGCAAAAGCCATTTATTTTCACATCTGTTTTGCCTGCTTGAAAGTCTGGTGGAAATTTTAGCACCAATATATTAATCTGGACATGACTATTTCAAGACCCAGGGATCATTTGATTTGCCAGGGTGAGCCCTTTGGTCCCCACTGCATTCAGAGCCAGAAATCCAAAGACAACACTCGAGGTTTAGCCAACATGGCAGATTTTCTGGGGTGGTAGTTGAAAATTCAGAGGTGATGTGGGCAGGAAGAATATCCTCTGATGATGAGACAGGTTAGAATAATTGACAAGAAGAAAGAAAATATAAAGTTTGGTGGGCAAAAGAAAAAGCAGAGTAGGGAAGGAAAAGGGGGAGGGGGAGTAAAAAGGAGAGAAAGAAAGAGAGAAAAAGTAAAAATATAGGACTGGTGCCATGCAGAAATTCACAGCAGGACCCATGAGGGGCGAGATGCTAGAAGGAGAATTAAAATGTGATATGCAAGCTGAGTAGAGTCAGGATGTATTTTTCCAAGAGCCCTTGCAGTTCTTATCCCTTGTGTAGGGGAAGAGTAATGGTAGGACAGCACCAATCTCTTTATTCCCCCTCAGCATTTCCCAGAGGTGACCAAGAGCCAAACTGAGCAGCACAAACCATCAATCACTGCTCGGTGTGTGGCTGCACAGACCTGCTGCAAAACATCCACTGTGACTTCATGGACCACAAAGCACAGATAAGAGTCTAGGAGTTACATCCTTCTGGCAAAGCGTGGTACACTCGAGGTGGACTGATCCTCTGTCCAAACAGCTTATCTCCAAACCATATTCATCACTGGGACATGGCAGCAATTTGTATCTACACCAGGGCTTTTTGCCAGGGCAGCTCTCTCAGTCAGATGCCACCAAGAACGAGATGGGCCAGCAAAGCTTCACAGCAGAGTAAATTTCAGTGCAGCTTTTAAGTTTTTTAAGCACTGAAGACGTGATCTTTGCAAGCAGGACCCAACCCAGCGTGCCTGTGCTCTGGGTGAGGCAGCAGGAGAGGCAGGGCTGGATCACCCTGTCAGCACTGATGTATGGCTCATGTCTCTTCATATTCCTCACAAACATCAGCTGACCTGCCCCTCCATGTGCCTCACAGCTGTCCTAAGAGCATCCTGCTTTGGAGGAGCTCTGCAAGCTCCATGCAAATCCCACCAGGGACTGACAGTGCAACTGCTGTCCTGGAAAACACCACCTCTGTGGCCAGCTGTGCATTGCAGCTGGAAAACTGCCTTCAGCTGAAGGGTACATCTTCCCACAGCTGGTCCTTGAGCAGAGTAAAATCTGCAGAGCAGGTCTGGCTCCTGCATTTCTTGGCACAAGGGTGGATTGGAGGCTTGCCAAGGTTGGAACTGGGGGGGAAAAAAGCCCATTTCCCATTGCCTTCGGTGAGCTGGGCTGACACCTGTAACCCCCACTGCTTCTGAGAAGGCAGCTAAGAAAAGCAGGAGTGCTGCCAGTAACTTACACAGTTCATACCCCTGCTGGGACATTCTGGGATTCCTTACACCACAAGAAGTTGAAAACCACGGCGCCAGGGAGGATTATTTTAAATTATTTTGTTCAAGTCAGGTTAAAGGAAGAGGATGGGGCATCTGGACTGTCTCCTGTCTGTGTTGGCACCTATCTCCTCACTCTTGTACTTCTTCCCCTTGCTCTTCCACCCTTGGGCATCCATGCCCAATGTCCATGAGTTTTCCTGGGAGCTGTGCAGTGCAGAGCCACCTCTGAGATGAGGAGAGGAGTTCCCTCCCCTTCCCCACCTCTGAGATGAGGAGAGGGAGTTCCCTCCCCTTCCCCACCTCTGAGATGAGGAGAGGAGCTCTCTCCCCTTCCCCACCTCCTGTTCCAGTGCACAGCACAAGGCAGCCCCAGCAGTGGGTGAGTGCAGCCCATCCTGCTCTCATCAGCAGTCTGGTCCTCACTGAGCCTTTGTACCTCCAGGATGTCAGGTTTGCTCTGTTCATGTGCTGACAGCACTAGAGTGTCTCTTTGCAAGCAAATAAAGCTGCTGAATAGTCAGCCTGTCCAGTCACACTGGCAGAGACTTTGAGTCCAGGAGATTTCAAACAGGACATTGTTCCTCAGTGCACGAGCTATTAAATTCCATAAATTTGTAACTGCTTTCTACTACAAATTTTATCACCAAAAAATAAAATCGACAAGATACTGTGTGATGAAGTCTTTTTTTTTTTTTTTTTTTTTGTCCAAAATAACTATTACTCACTCACAGCCATCATTTATTGCAAGTTGTGATCACCTGATGGGAACTAGTCTGAGCTCCTTCCCCCATTCCTGACAAAGCTTTATGTTCATTCCTATGTTCAGCCACTTGTCCTCATGTTTAAAAAAATTAATAGCCCATATGCTGCAACAATATCATTATTTTAAGCAACCTTCCTGAAAAATGTTTGAAGGCTTCCTGTTGACTAATGGGTGGAACTGGACTGCCCCTCTTTCTTTCCAGCTCAGTAGTAATGATTTAAGCAGATTAACTGGTTAACTAAATGTCATTAAACCAGATCACACCCTTTACACAAAATAACACTGGTTACAGGAATCAGCTAATAATAGGGTTCATCCAAAGGCAATGAGAAAACATTTTTATCCATGTCAAAATTTGTCAATGGGCTCAAAATGAAGTTCAGTGTGATTTCTGCTAAAGGAGTAAATATGCTGGATGTGATCAACAAACTAAGCCATGCTTTCCTTCATTTGCAACAGAATGTTGTCAACATCCCCGAAAATATTAAAGCTCCCCTTTCTTCCTGTCCTTCAAATCGTCCACCAGGTAGCCCCAGGTACTAAACACTGCCACTTCACCTGTGCCAGCACAGGGCAGGACAGCTGCACCTCCAGTGACACCCACCAAACACCAGCCACTGCTGAATTTCAGCCTGGAAGAAATAAAATAATAAAAAAGAAATAAAATAATAAAAAAAACCCTCCCAGTGATCCATGACCAACCCACCCCAATGCCCATGGTGGGGAGGCAGGAATCCTGTGCTTTCAAGTCCAGGATGTTCAGTAGGTGGCTGCAGAGGCAGGCAAATGTCCCCCTGTGTCTGGGACCAGAGTGTGCAGCTCAGCACCCTTGGCTCTCTGTACAGAAATAAAATCCTGGCATAAAGGGTTTGCTTTTGTTGTGACTTAGGTTGCCCTCAGTTTGAGTTGAATAGATGTGCTTGGTTCATGCCCAATGGAGCTCACATGCTACTTGGCATTTTGGGATTAAAACACATCAAAATGAGGTCACTGGGTTGTGCATAAATAACATTTCATGTTTTTCTCTTCCAGTAACCGTGACTGTGGGAGGACAACAACACTTGCTGGGACTTTATGACACTGCAGGACAGGTAAAGGACTGCAAAACATTTATCATTTTCCTTTCCCATGTTTTTTTTTTGGTACTATCATACGCTGGGGTTTGTTGTTAGTAATGTTTGTGGAGTTTGTTGGGGTTTTTTTCACAAATAAAAACAATCAGTTTTAAGTTGTAATGGCTGAACTGCTGACCTTCTCCCTTTTGTTTTCATTCTGCTTTAGCCGTAAAATACACACAAATACACTCATCCCTAAGACTGTGTTTTGTCTAATCAAAAAGCCAAAGCCTGATGGCGCTGTACAATACCCATATATCCACCTCCTACTGCAAATACGATATTTTGTGTAGTCAGTGTTTTCTTACCTTTACCACATGGTGGCATTGAAGATACAGAGAATAATTCCCATTTTCAAGATCAGGAAACTGGTATAATTCAACACCAGTCTATCAGTGACCAGCTGTTGACTTTTTAAGTGATAAACTTAACCCAGCCCGATTTGCATCCATCCCAACATCCCAACATCCTTCTCTCAGGACAAGGGTGTCCATTACAGGACAGTCTGTATCCCATGCCCACTTATATTTAGAATGCTTTTGCTGTTTCCACTGTCCACACCCTGATATGGTGAGATTACACTCAAAGGTTGCAGAATAATTTCACCCCCTGGAGGGAAGGAGAAATTATTTCTCACTGCTTTGCTCTGCCAGCAGAAGGGCAGAAGAAAGTACAGGGGCAACACATTTTTTGTGGTGAAATTTCCCTCTCCTGACTCCAAATGTGGGTGAGTGACAAAATAAAGGGACATAGTCTGCACAGAAACCTTGCAAAAAGTCATCTGCTGAGAGCAGAGGGTTCCAGGTTCCTCACAGGCTGGGAATGTTGTAACCCACATCCACCAGCTCCTCCAGCAGGAGCTGACACTGAAGCCAGCAGGACAGAAAGCAAATTTGGGAACTTGCCTCACTCTCTCTGGGTTCCAGCAGCCCTGGGTGCAGGGCTTTGCTTTCCCCAGGAGCTCTTCTTGGCTGTACCAGTTTTGGCCATGGCTGACTGCCATGAAAGGTACAAACCGTGCAGAAGGAGACCCTCCTGTCTGCAAAAGGCTACTTCTTGCAGAGTATACTTTGCAGCACTATGCAGAGAGATCAAAAAACCCACACCAGAACAGACTGTCACTTCCAGAAAAACCTGCACTCAGCAGAACTGTGGCTTTGATGCTTTGGATTTCACTTTCTTTAATTTTATTCTTATCATGTTTCTGTAGGCAGCAGCAGTCGTAGCTGGTTTGGTGGCCCTTACAGACCACACATCTTTCCTATCCACATGGTGCAAACAGATGATCCAAAAGCCAATCCCAAAATATGGTCCAAGTGCTTGCTCCACGTTCAAAGCCTGTTCAATCTTTTTTTCTGTGTTCACAAACTCAGAGCTCAGAGCCTGTGTCAGGATCCATCAGCCCTGCAAGCCTTTGCAAGCCAGACTGGAGTTATATTCAGTTCCCAGTTTTCACCCCATGCCTTAATATTCCTACTTGTTTTGTAGGGCTGACAGTTCCACCTGCCACCCATTTCCGCAGCAACACCTCCTCTCATTTGTCCTCCTGAGCCAGAAGGAGCACTCAGCTGTCTCTTTGACAAGCCTCACCCCTCCATCCATTCCTCCACATCATTTTGCCATCTCCTGCTTCAAACTAGACAGTTCAGCACCTGCCTCCAAACCCTTTCTCTAACTCTCCAAGCTCATGTCCCTTCCAGACCCTGGTCCAGGGGATGTGGCCATCTAGCCAGAGCTCAGAGCATGAATCAGCCCTGGATGACTAGATTGTCCCCGTGGAGGCTGGGGGGATGATGCTTCCCACATGCTCCAGTTATAACAACAGATCAGCTGGGTTGTCTCCTCCCTCCTCTCCGTGTGCTGTGTGGCTTTCCAAAGGCATCGGTGTGAAGTCATAGCCAGAAATAGCCCCTGACACTGCGATGCTATAAAACATATGCTAATGAAATAACAATTGGAAAATGTACTCCTGCTGCAGGACCCTCTGTCGGTGTGAAGGGAGAGCTGGCAGAGACCCCAGACTTGAGGTATCTGGCTTTCTGCATCCCTGGCACAAACAGTCCGGGAGGAAAAAACTGTGGTCTTTTTGCCAGGCTGGATTCAGGTGCAAAATGCTTTAGCAGAGTGTACAAGAGACCAGCACAGTAACAACATAAAAACAACAACAACCAAAAACCAAAAAAAAAAAGCCAGTTTTGCTGCATTTTTGGGGCACAAACCCTGCTGAGCTGATGGCCAAGATGGAGGGAAGGGAATGGCACCAGCTGATCTTGGCCCTGGCAAATAACACAGCAGGGCCAGGTCTGGCACTGACATTTCCAGGCCAGACCAGTGGCCAGGAAGTCTTAACAGGGAAGTCTCATGTTCCCTAAATAGCAGGCAGCACAATGCAAGCACAAGCTGGGAAAATAAATAAATAAAAATAAATTATTGATCAGCCACAACCCAAGTCGACAAGGACTCATATCCCTTCACAAACATGACTGTCACTCACTACAGCTCCTCTGGATATTCCCCATACCCATTCAAATGTCCAGTCCCTTTTTTATATTATTTATTTGCTTGACTTCAACCATCTCTGAATGAGAAGTGACCCTGTAGGGCTGTCTTTTCTAAAGGTGCATTGCAAGGTTTTATGGCCTTCTCCTGGAGAGCAGGTACAGAGCAGAGATCCCTGTCTGATGTGGTCTGGAGGGTCCTGTACATGTACAGGAGCCTAGATCGACTCTTATCCATGATATCCATGATGTTTTAACCTGTCTGTGAAAAATCCCACGTGCCCTGGTGGGAGGTGAGACCTCTGCTAGAAGATGCATGGTTGCCCCTGCTTAAAATTTATATAATGCTGTGTGCTAATAGCTCAAATCAGGAATGCTCTTCCTGAAAAATAATTTTCTAGGGATTCAGAAGCAAGAAGGAAAATAAAATTAAATGCATGCTCCTGTAGCTGTCACAGCCAAGCAGAACACTCATGGCTTTAATCTGTAATTTCAATGGTACAATAAGTCCCAGTCCCTCTAAATATGCAAGTCTGGAACATTGGAACTGGCTGTATTTAGCCAATTTCTTCCCAAAACTCCTGGATGAGGATTCCTTGATGTTTGCTGCCACCGCGTGGCTGGTTCAGGAGCCTGACCTGCAGCAGCAGAACCAAAAACACAGAAAGGATCTTTGCCAAGCACCCGGTACCAGCCAGTGGTGGGTGAACCACAATCAATCTCACGTTTAATTTTTTTAATTTCCTGGGTTAAATAACGTCCCATAATCATACCAGGCTTTCCTAACCCACAGCATCCACATAAATTTGTCTCTACAGTGCAATTTCTCCTGTGATCCCATCACTTTGGCATCCACTTTGTCTCTATTAACCTCTGCTGGGAGCTGGCTGACATCTCCAGAGCCTTGGATAAATCTCCTGTCACTGACTTTGCTCCTTCATGAACTGCATCACTGGTGTACCCACAAACATCTCTGAGAGAGTTTTCCTCCTGTCCCTTGAATTTAGAGAATCCACTTTCTTGGGAGGTGATACATCCAAACACGTCCTCTTGTAAATCCGTCTTCAGATCCACTCTGCCACTGGAAAGACATAATTATGTCAGTTGAAAAATACTCTGGTTTTATCCCAAATACTGTGAATATGAGGGCTGGAGGTAGTAAATGACAATTTACTCTTCCTGTCAGGCTTGGAACAATAACATCCAGTTAGACAAAACAAAACATTTTGTTTGTGTTTTAGGATGCTTTTTTAAACTTTTCTTTCATGACACAGAGCTAAATTTGGGCTCGTGCTTCCTTTCAGAATAAATAATTAAAGTTCTGGAGATTTTTTAGAAAGAGTTGGCGCAAACAGTTTTTGAGTAATTCATTAGTATATTTTGGAAACTAGTGTTGATGCAGAAGTAGTCTGGGTCAATTTACTACTGTATAGTCAGGGAAAAAGAGACTTCAGAAAGGTGATTTACCGGTCTCAATTCACAATTAGGTCCTCTCATTTGTTGACCCAATCAAAGCAAGGCAGAAGTAAGGCTGCACTAAAGAGCACCCAGGTGTCTTTTTTCCACCTTTTATTAGCCTTATTTCCTTTTATTAACTAGTCTGTATCTGCAGAGCAAATCCACACCAGTTGAATTTTCACACAGTTACAACCAAAGGTGACCAGACCGCAGAGATCTGAGATTTGTCCAGGATGCAGAAACTACAAACTGCAGATCTACATCACAGTCAGGCTTGACAGCATGTATTATTGTTTCCCACACTCCAACTTTGTGTTCCTTTCCCCTTTTTTAGTTCTGGACCCCCTAAAAACAGCCTTTGGAACAGATGTACCCCCTCTAAAAAGCATCTGTTTCATTGCACTGAAGTTTTCTAACAGGTTTCATTGACCAGTACCCACCAGACACAGCTACAAATGCTCCCACTGTCAGAGAGAGCCAGGCTGTCCCTTTCACGTGGCTTGCAAAACCTCTGCTTGCTCTCAGCTTCTCAAGCCTGAAAACAGACCTAAATTCTTCCTTGAAACTCTGCTACCAAAGCCAGCTCATGACATATCACAGCTGTGATTCAAGGGTTTGAAAACTCACCCTCTCCACCACTAGCCCATGGAGAAAGCATCTCTCCTTCCACCATCCGTGGCCTGTGGAAACCCTGAATGACCCACAGTGAGTGCCCGGGTGCTCCAGGCTGGGGTTGATCTGTTTTCTGCTTTCTGGATGAGTGTCTTCTGCTGACTGGCACATTGCTGAGCACCATGCAGGACTGCTCAGCATCACCTTCTGCACCAACATCCCCACAGGTAACACAAACAAAACTTGTTCACACAATCACAGGGTGATTGAGGCGGAAGGGACCTTCAAAATTATCTAATTCCACACACACACCCCACCAGGGATAGGGACACCTTGCACTAGACCAGGTTGCTCACAGCCCTGTCCAACAGCCCCATCCAACATGGTTTTGAACACTTCCGAATATGGGGAATCTTTCAGCTCTTTTTGGTAAAATGATGATAAATCAGCACCCTTGTCCTGTGAGGGGTGGCTCCCCATCCTCTCCAGCAGCCACCTGGAGCTGAGAAGTGTGAATGAGTATGGAAAGAGTTGACCACTTCATCACACCCAGCCCCACTTCAGTCATCCCCTCCTTGTGACACTGTGGCTGCTCTCCCCTGGCAGGAGGACTACAACCAGCTGAGACCCCTGTCCTACCCCAACACCGACGTGTTCCTGATCTGCTTCTCCGTGGTGAACCCTGCCTCCTACCACAACGTGCAGGAGGAGTGGGTGCCCGAGCTGAAAGTCTGCATGCCCAACGTGCCTTATGTCCTCATAGGAACACAGGTAAAGCTTCTCCTGAGCACCTGGAAAGGTTCCCTATTTAACTCATGGGAAACTCAGCCAGATTTTCCCATTAGATGGAAATTCAGGGACTGGGAATGGAAGCAAACATGCAGGCGTCCAGAGTGGCAAAGCTCATCCCATCTTTTTATTCAAATGTTTATTAGTGTGGCAACAAGTCATAAATACCTATAGGGAGAAAAGTTTTTGTACAGGTCTCTAATCAGGAGAAAAAAGGAATCAAAGTTTGGGGCTAGAAGCTGAAGCTCAAACTAAATTTTAAGAATGGGAGTAATTAGCCGAATGACATGGGAAGGAAGTAACCTCCCTTCATGCTTTTACATCAACATTACAACTGGTGATTCACCATCCTGCTTGTGTTACAGTGATTGTCAGACTGAATGATCAAATCCCTTAATTTTGGCCCTAAAATCTATTAATCTGTCAATCAAATAAATAAATATGGGGTTTTTAACCAAGACAGAGTGGATAGAGACTGTGAGGGTATGGATACAACCACTGGGAAAATGTCAGAGCAATAGACAGTAACTTAAATCAAATTAGAGAAATAGATCAAATTCTGGTCAAAACCAAAATCTTCATGCCACAGGAAAGGCAAATAATTCAAACACTGTCTTTGTTTTCTACACTGGGATAATCTAAAACATTTTAAAATAAAAGCATTATCCTTTGGATCACACAGTCTGAAAATGGACAGGTTTGAAATGCCAGAATACTTCACTTTGATGTTTTCTGTGGAAATGAAGGATTTTGTTTCAAGTCAGACTGAGCTGTGTCTGTCTGGCCAGTCGGGGTGGGTTTGGGTGATGCTGTGCAGGGTTGCAGCAGCTTCTTCTACTAGTGGGGCTCTTTCCTGAACCACACTCCTCTGATCTGTGGCCCAATAACCTGTAAAGGAGAACTAATTCATGGTAACCTAAAAAAAACCCAAAAAAGGTAAGTAAATGTGCAATTCATTTCTGAACTATCACCTGAGCTGAGGAGTGATGCAGATGCCCTGATGTGGGTCTGTAAAGCCACGAACATCAAGAATTACATCTCAGATTTTGTGGTTTTTCCACTAGATTGACCTCCGGGATGATCCCAAAACTTTGGCGCGGCTGCTTTACATGAAGGAGAAACCACTCACCTATGAGCACGGAGTGAAGCTGGCAAAGGAGGTAACAGCTTCTTCTGATGCCACATGAAGCTGCCTGACCACAGCTTTCCACTGGGTTTCTTTCATTCAAGGCTCCTCCAAGCCCCGTTGGTCCCAGAACAGAGATGGAAGCCTCTGTTCAAACAGGCTGGACATTGTGACCCCTGAGCTTGCACTTCTGCTGCAATATCAGCTCAAACATAGAATATCCTGAGTGGGAAGGGAGCCAAAAGGGTCACTGAGTCCAGCTCCTGGGCATGCACAAAAGACAACCCCAAAAATCACACCACGTGTCAGAGAGAACTGTCCAAACACTTCTGATCTCTGGCGGGTGCCATGACCAAGCTCTAACAAAAGCATTGAGGAACACCAGGCAGCAGGTGGCAAATGGGCATCAAACCAGATTTGGCTGCCTATTTTATCTAAGCCAGGTGTTTCTTGCTCAGGGCTCTGCCAGGAGATGCATTTGCAAACCCCTCTCTGCAGTCAAGTCACCTCCTGTCAAATTCCTCCCTCTCCCTTACAAAAGCACAGACAACTGGATTCCCACTCATCCATTGCAGTTCAGCTACAACCCAACATTTCCTTGAAGCCTCCCCAGCTGCAGGAGGCCAAGCTCCTGGTCCAGCACTCAAACATGGGTGCAGCCCCTCTCCCTGGAGGGAATTCCTGCAGCCCATTCACCCCCACGTGGTGAGATAGTCATGGTGATGCTGATTCCTGCTCTCTTGCTCAGGATGACCACGTGAGCTTGTCCCTTCATCCCACAGACAGCCAGACACAAAATAGAAAAATTATCTGACCCCTTTCTAAATGCAGAAAGATGCTGGAACAGCATCACTCTGTCTCTCCCAAGAGTGGATCCTCACTCTCATTTTCCCTCTTCTCTTTCAGATTGGAGCCCAGTGCTATCTGGAGTGCTCAGCACTCACACAGAAAGGCCTTAAGACTGTCTTTGACGAGGCAATCATGACCATTTTCCACCCCAAGAAGAAGAAGAGGCGCTGTGCAAAGTGCCACAGATGCTGCACCCTTGTGTGACATCCCCTGGGAAGCAGAGCCAGCCGAGTTCAGTGAAACCAAGCAGGTTAGAAAGGCAACGAAGGTCACATGCAACTGAAACGGGGAACATGACCAGAAAAGGGTCCTTCCTACCCAAACATAGGAGCTCTCCGTTCTGTGAAACCTCCAAGCTGTATCACCCTTGGCCAACTCCTGTCTCTGTGCTTTCCTAACCCTCCAGAGCTGTTTTGCAGCCTGTTCCCACTGCTGCAGACTGCACCAGCAGAAACCAGGATGCCTGCTTGGCTCCCCACCTTAGGAATAAGGTGAAGGTGGTTTGTGACAAAACAAAGAGCTAAAGATGGCAAAAGAAACAGGAGAAACTCCTTTTGTGGCCTTAAGTAAGAATTGATCAAAATTAGGAATTTGCAGTCCTTAGGAATTGTATCTGAATTGACTGAAAGCACATGGAGATCTGTAGAAAACTAATATGTAAGATATACACTATAGGTAGGATGTACTTTAAAATGCTTTTCTTTCATAAGACTTGCTAGATCAGGAGATACTTCAGTTTGTTCAAACCACATGGAAGCAAAGGTGGAGTGATTCCAGTTTGTTTTCACCTAATGGTGAAACTTCACAGCATCAGGATGTTGCTGCACCCAAGCTATCAAAATGGATCAACATTTACCTCCAGACTTAAGGAATGTTCTTACAACTAAAAAAAATGCAAATAACTGTATTTTTACAGAGGAATGTTCAGGCTGAGCCATGTTTCTGTAAGCTGGGAAAGGAAGTATAGAGTTGTAGCATTAATGTACTGAAACAAAGAAATTCTGCCACCAAAGAATATTGCCCTAGACATGAAATAGCAGCGTGAAACAATCCCTCTTCCAACTGAGAACAAGACACATTGCCATGGCAACAGAGAATTTATCTTAAAGATCAGCTGGATTTCTACATCTCACCCAACAGCCAATAGAAAAAAAATAAATAAAGCCAAAGGTCATACTGACTTTAAGTGCTTTGAGGTGATCCAATTGCCTTAAAAATATCCTTTTTTTATGAAGTATTTCTGTGAAAAACCTCATCAAAGTGGAGTTGTGAACTTGTTATTGTAGCCTCCCTCCTCCCATTGGTTTCTTCTCTCTCTGCTCCCATTTTCCATCTTCACAGAGAGAGCTGTGCCAGCTGCAGAGTGGCTGCTGTCCTCAGGAGTGGACTTTTCCACCAGTGGCAGATGATGCTGCAGCCAGCAGCAGGGAGGTGGGAAGTCCAGCCCAGAGGGGAAGGGAAGCTCCTGTGATCTCCTCTTGCTGCTGGGAATTGTGCCTTTTCACTGAAGCATCTCTGGGGATCCTGCAGCTTTGCACATCACAGCTACACAGACACTCCAAGGTGAACTCCAAGGGTTACCTCTTGTCACCTGAAGCTGCCTCTGGGTACCCTGGCAGTGCCATGAGACTGGCTTGTCATGGGTTTCATCCCCAAGCAGGAAATCACAGCACCAGCACACACAGATTTGAAGATGTAACTCCTTGCTAAAGCTGAGTCTGAAGCCAGCATGTCCAGAAGCAATGGGAGGGAGCAGGTGACAGCAGAGCATCCTCCCAGCCTGGGGGCACAGACCCAGCTCCCTCCTGCACCCCATCCCACCAGACTGGCAGCCCTCTCCTCTTGGGAAGCACAGTGTCCTGACTGAGAACACTCCTGCCACCAGACGAACCAGGGAACCCCAGCCCTGGTGCTGCCCAGAGTGATGGGTGGCAGCAGCAGGACCAAGGGACCAAGCTTGGTGCAGTGCCCAGTCCTGCAGCAGGACCAGGCTAATGGATCTGAGCTCCTCCTTCAGCACAAACTCAACTTCATACAATTGTAGAATGGTTTGGGTTGGAAGGGACCTCAAAGATCGTCCAATTCCAGCCCCAGTTTACCATGGACAGCTACAGAAACCAGCTCTGACACCCTAAAAGATTTCTGGGTAGAAATCAACAATTCCCTCTTACAAAAGCCACCTGACTCGAGGCAAATACTTTGCTCTTTTTTTTACCCAGTGCCTTCCACTCACCATCCCTTTCCCCTTGCACACAAACATGGATGAAAACACAGCTGTGCCATACCTGAGACAGACAAGTTCTCCTCATTGCTGCTGATTTTTGTGCCTGTTTTCTGTTTGGTTTTATTGTGTCCCAGGCATTTACTTCAGATGGCCTGGCTGCTAAAGCCCAGCTCAGTGAGGTGCAGGGGTCCAGGCCATGCCACAGAGTTTGTGTCCATCCCCAGGCAGAGCAGTGAGGACACTGTCTATCAGCTGAACTGTAACATGAAAAAATATATTAGAGAAGTATGAGGAGAGCTAGGCATGAATTAAACAAATTAATATTCCAGTTTACAACATGACTAGAAGTCCACTGAAACAACAACAACAACAACAAAAAAAAGCCTTTAACAGATTTCAGGGAAATTATAACTGCACTGTGCTGCCTTTTACTTCAGTGGAAATTAATTAGGATGATTGTTTTAGCTCATGGAGGTTGCTGGAGAGTGATGTATGAGTCTCTGGTGGAGGAAGGTGAAGTCTGGTTTAGCTGAAGCACAATGCAAGTGCTCATGTTGGAACTGCCTGGTTTTCTTAGAGCTTCAAAAAATGTAGAAATGGAGGAAATAGAAAATCCAGAGTGACAGCTGAGCTCATCCTAACATAACAAGCACACTGGAAAAGTGAAATGGAGCACCCTGGCATGCATCAGGGAAAGCCACAAGTAATCAAATTGGTTTTTGCCACTGAGTACCAGGGGTGATTGTTAATCTTAATAGAATGGCACAGGATTGGCAGTAAAATCAAAAACCAAGTGGGAAATTGTAGCATTAATGTAACTGCAGTGGTTTGAGGAAAATTAACTACAAAACATATGGTGATAGAGAAGCTAAAATGCTGCTGTCCTAATGCAGCATCCTGAACAAATCCTTGCATAAAGGAAGCAGATAAAAAAATGTTAATATTCATACAAGAAGCGTTAAGGTTAAGCAGGGGTTTCTTTGCATTTACAAAATGGAGCACGTCAACCTTGTGAGGCAGAAAAATTTCATTTTTCAAACTGATTTTGGCCATAATTTGAATTCTGGGAGCTGCAAGAGCGGGAGAGTGGTCATAATCCACTGAGAAATGGCCCCTGCATTCCATTTTTTAAAAATTTTTCTTCCACCAAAAATAAATGTTTTTTGAAAAGCCATGTTTAATGCAGGTCTCATAAACATTATTCCTGTGTTAGGTTATGTACACACACCTGCCCATGAAATGTGGCAATTTCCCAAGGATCTGCCCTGTTATACTATTTTTTGGGGAGGCAGGGACAGCACAGGCCATGAGGCTTTAGAAAGGGATTGTAGGCAGATGTAAGGAGAGTCATTGACTATCTGGCAAGTCATACCTAATGCCTTTTTTAAAAGCAACAGATGGTGTGTGAAGAGGCAGTAAAGCTTATTTTCAGAAAAACCACAACACCAGACATAGAGCAAGTGCAGGCATAAGGCCACAGATATAAACTTCAAGTTATTTTCAAGAACCATTAGTAATGAGGAAAGAAAATCGATAGAGGACTGCCAGGTGAAGGGAGATGGGTTTACTCACTGTGAGATGAGCTAGAAATCAGATCCCAATTTCACCTTAAAAGGAACACTGTTAAGGAGAGTCATAAAGGTCAGAAACCATCCCTGGAACTTATTTGACAACGTCCCCTTAATGCAGCTGATGTCAAAGCCTTTCCTGACAGAACTGCCTTTGCTAATAGCCTGCTGTCATTTCTAAAGCACTCACAACTTACAGGAAACTTGCTGGATCCTGTAACACCCATCTCCTTTGGCCTCTTCTGAAACCCTCCTGTTCCACCAAGAGTTCTTAACCTGAAGCTGCAGTTTCTAACAGAGTTCCCAAAGTATTTTCCAGCAGACCCCTGCAAGGAGATATTCGAGGTATTTGAGAGAGATGTCAATTCTTCAGAGAGTTGCTATCACATTAAAACCTCCTACAGCTGCCTCTGCCCTTCAGAGCCCTGTGAAAACACCAGGACAGTGGAACTGGCACAGCCCTGCCACTTCCAGCATGACTTGAAGGAGGTCCCACAAAAACTCACTCCTGTGCCCTCCAGAGCTCTGAAAAGTTGGGGAGAAGGCAGAAACAAGGTTCTAACCCCACTCAGATTTTTCATTTGTTCATTTGTTCAACTGGATAAATGCCCTGTGTAGGTACAGAATTCACCCCAAGTCCAGTATGATAATCAAAATAATAATTTCAGCAGCTGACATCGATATTTCTCACCTTTTTTCACTTTTGAAGCACTCAAAGCTTTCAAAAGAGACACAGAATTAAATATAGCACTGCATCTTAGTAGGAAATAAAGTTATTCCAAATACTTTTATTGAAGGGACAGATTTTGGGCATCCTCTTCATACTGAAGAGAATCTCACTTCACAAGGAACTGCCTCCAAGTTGTTCATCTCATTCAATCCCACTGGCACTGCTCAGGTGATGAGGGAGGTTGATTGGTGATCTTTCCTTGTAGTTTATTTACCAGAAAACCTCTTCCAGCCACTCCAGTGTTGGTGGCCTGTGTTCTTTTGAATACCTTCAGGAATGGTGACTCAATCACTTCCCTGGGCAGCCTCTCTCTCTCTTTAATTCATATATGGAAGATGCCAATCTGCTTTTATAGCTTGCCTAGAGCCCACGCCATCTTCCTGTGCCCTTTTTCCCCAAGTGACACAGCAAATACCTCTTGACTCACCAAATCTCATCTGGATTAAAAATAATCTGCAGTGGCATCAATTTGTCTAAAAGCACATTTGTCTTCTCCAACAAAGCAATCCATGTGCTCACCTTGGCCCAGGGACCATTTGTTAAACAAAGAGGTAGAATGCAGGAATCTGGCTGTACATGCCTTTCTCCATGTATTTTCTTTTTCCCTGAGGAAGACCTGTAATGTTGTTTTATCCTACATTTAAAAAGGAAAATCTGGAAATAACAGAACATTTTGTTGGTTCACAATTCTATGGGACTGGAGGAGCATCTGCTGTGACAGGAGGTGAGCATGGAGTGACCTACGTCAGATAACTTCTAGGCACATTTGAGCTCTTTGCAGAAATGAAGACGAATTTCCACTATGAATGTTTATTTTCCTCTTTGTGAATAAAGACCATCTGAGAGCAGGAAAAAGCCTCCCACTGATTTCGGTAGTGCCTTGTGATCTCAGCTGTCTTCACCTATCAAAACAAAACAGGAATAGAAATATTTTTGCATCAAAAAGTCAGGACAAAATCACCAATTAGAAGTTGTGAATGCAACAGAATCACTTCTGCTTCGGGGGAGAGCTGCAAAATCAGGGCCCAGAGCAACAATTAGTCAGTTTGATCCTAAACCTTGATTTTTTTCCTTTTAAAAATAAACCTTTTCATTTGAAGATGTTAAGAGGACGCCCATAACTAGAACAACAAAAGAAGATCTTCAAATTCTCTTTTTTTTTGGTTTCAGTTAAAGCTTTCAGGAACATGGGAACAAAAATCTGTTCTCTTGGGCAGTTCCAGGAGCCACACCTTAACAGCGAGAAGAGTCAGAAGCTCATTAATTAGTTCAGAAACCCAAAGCAACAAGCAAAAAATCATGTGAATTGCTGTCAGTGGTGAAAAATAACTTGGAAAATATGGATTCCCATCCTTTTCCAGATTGTACAGACCATAATGCAGTGTTTGGCTGTTTCTAACTATAATGGTAGGGTGGGATTTTCAAAGATGCTCTATGTTGGCTTCTTTTCAATACTCATGGAGGCAATGGAAAATTTCAGTGGGTCCACACATGGCTAATGTGGAAAATGTTTGAGAGTCTTTATATTTCCTCCTTTTCTGACCTTTTGTTTTGTCTGACCAAGCTTTGAGCACACAGACACACTGAGCCAGGTCCAAGAACCTTTTATACCTTCTGGCTGCTGGTTAAGGACTCCTGAAAGGAGACTTTGCTGATCTCACTTTTGGAGGCTGGACCTGAAATGCCTCAGTTCAACCACTACTGAGCTGAAGATGGAAGTTACATTATATTAACAGTGTAATATTCAAGACATATGGCTCTCTTTGCTTAAAGACTCTAAACTCATTGCTGTCACTTAATTTCATCTCATCCCATTCAGGACACCAGGTTTGATGGGGTTTTGGTGAAGATCAGTTTGAGCTCTCACTGATACCCACTCTGGTGAATTTTGGCTTTGATTGGAGGTTAATGAATTCAGAGTAAACAGTTGTCACCAGTCTACAGCTTCCAGATCTTCCAACACAACATTTGTTTGTATTGATAACATGTAGAAAAATTTGTCTGATGTCTGTCAAAGCAGTTTGTGGGTAAATCACATCCAGAGTGTGGCTATCATGTCATCTCTCTCAGTACTTTTCCCCTAAGTAGGCAGCTGCTCTAAGTGCATCACAGACCTGGCAGGCACAGAACTGCCCTGTCAGCATGGAGCAAATGAGCCCAAACTCTCCCCAAGCTTGTAAATATTAATTCACTAATATGCAATAACAAAAGTTATGTGAGAGGGGAAAGACACTGGCAAAGCCTTCTTCACTCATGAGCAGAAGTGACCCAAGCCCAGGGTGCCAGGTGGGAAATGCTACAGAGGAAGACATGGTGTGGCAGCCCTGTGCCCCAAAAAATATGGACTGAGGCTGGTGGGAGGGCTGGGAGGTGTCTCTGTGAAGTCACACCTGGGTACCTGGGGCTCAGCAGCACCTTGAGACTGGGAGGATTTCAAAGAAGGCTGCAGAGAGGAGCAGGGAGATGGAGTGCAAGGAGAACGGAATCCAGTTTAATGTGTCATGATGTTGATGCACTTATACAAATACAGGAATTTCACTGCACAGAGATTGTCTGCTCCCCCGAGAACACAAAGACAAGGACATTTCATTCCTTTCTTTTTGTGCTTACTTAATAGAAATGCTTAAAATTATTCCTTAAGAAATGTTTAAAACTAACAGTTCAACAAGTTATTGGGATGGAGTTTGTGAAGCAGATGTAATGACCTCAGCACAAATCAGGACCTCACTCATCACCAGTCAGGTCTTAACCAGTTAGGACAAAGAGTCACTTACTTGATGTGAGCAACTGCATTTTTCTCTCTTAAAAGTTGCTATGTGCAATATTGCTGGAATATGGAGCTGGTGAAACCAAAGGATGGGCACTAAAACAGTATGTGTGACTTTTGAGTGGTATGCCTTTTTTTTTCAAAGATTAACCAAATCTTTAGAATTCAAAGCAAAACAATTTCAAACCAAGGAAATTCAGTTTTCAAGCAAATGTGTTCTGCATAGTTTAAAAATAATGTAAACACTATTAATTTCCTATTTACAGCACATAATTCTGTACTCTTTTTTATCATCTTTTAAACATGTAATTACTGTATATTGTAATGCACATTAATATCATTTATTGTACATAGTTTATTTTAACGAAATAAATGTATTACGAAGTATTTTGACAGCATCTTTTAGGGGACGTGTGCTGTTGTGTTTATTTTCCCAGATGCTAATCACATGCACCTTGCAGGATGTTTCAGGTAGGAGAAACACCTACCAGCATATTGGCAAGGAAGATGGCGAGCTGAGCACCCTGTGGTCCAGCAGCCAGGGCAGGAGGAGTCAGGACGGGAAGTGAAAGGCTTATGGTGATGAAGAAGTTACATGAGGAAAGACAGCTTTGCTGGTCTGGAAACAAGAATATGAGTGGTTCCAGTCTTCCAGGGATTCAGTGCAGAGATGTGGATCTTGTTTTTTTAAAAAATAACAAAATAAAGTTAAAAAAAAAAAATTAAAAAGTGCCTTTGTTACCCAGCTGTTCATTAAAATTCGTTTCAAGACCAGAAGCAATCTCATTGACCAGCTGGTCTGGTCTTCAAGTTAAGCCCTAGAAATCCTGCCATTCCTGAACAACATCCTTCATCTTGATTGGACCCAAGCAAGTTTCACCACAGGAAGGCTCTTTTAATATTCCTGCAGCTTGTGAACCTCAGCGGGTTTAACTAGCCCTGCCTGGAGCACTTGCAGAGAAAAGACAAATCGTATCAAGGTTTATTCCTAATAAAAAGGTACTGCAGCCCAAATCCCTGGCTGCTATAAATGGAATAATCCTCAGAGGAGCCAGGACAATCCAAGAGGGCACAGCATATAGCCTGGAATATATTTTATTCACCTTCCCCCAGAGGAAGGTGGTGTTACTCACCAGACTCTCCACGGCCTGACTTTATCTGGGAAGAAGTGGCACGGAGGACCCACATGTCTGGGGTTAACAGCAACATGCCAAAGGCATCCCCCAAAGCAGAAAAATCCTAAATTGCTGCCAGGTAAGGCTGGGTGGATGGAGCCAAGGGAAGGATACCTCCAGGCAGCCCTGATGCTTTCCCATTTCCCTGAATTCCCACGGCTGGCCACAGTCCCTGGCAGCACCATGGGTGAATAGGCTTTGCTCTGACCTAGGGCACTGGTTCCAATGTTTTCATAAATGGGTTAACTGCACCACCTAATTAGTGGTTTGTCTTCATTTTCTTTTGTCTTCACTCGGAGTCAGGATAAAAAACATGAAGGAGACAAATTTCTCGTGTTTGGACTTGGTTGTTTATTAAATGTTATCTTAAGTACAGAGAGTTCTGCAACAGTTCTAGCTACCAGCTAAAAGAGAGCAAAATGGAGCTGAATCTAGCTAGTTACAAGGTCTCTTAAAGCTAAACAGTCCAACAGAGAATTAACACCTATATTATTTATACTTTTAACCCAATAACCAAACTCCTATGACCCTCAGTGCAGCACTGACTGTCCAGCCAGATACTATTACCTGAAATCATGAAGAAGGAAGAACACAGAAAGAGAAACCACCCAAAATCCTTCATCTTGTCCCATACATATTACTAAATTCTAAAAATCCCAAATTCGAAATCCTTCACCATGTGAAATTACACACTTCTCTTCCAACTACACACCCATGATTTTAACTCCATCACTCAAATTTGGAGCCTTCTCCAAGGCCTCAGGTCAAAAGCAGTGTTCTCCAGGGGGTCAGTGTTAGAGAGCACAGAAAGCTCAAAACTCCCAGGTTTCTGGGTTCCAGCATTTTCATCTGAGTACAATGAGAGCAAGAGCAGCTCCTGTCCTGGCTCCCAAACAGAAATCCAGTCAGTGCAGGGAACATCCCTCTGGGGAGGCATCCTGCCCTGCCTCTCATGGTTATTCAGCTCTGTAGGTGGGGTAAAATACAAATTTCTGGCATGGTCCTTTGGGCTGGCACAGCAGCTGCAGGGGAGCTGAGCTTCCAGGCCCAGTGGACTAGAACAGGAGAGTATCTTGACAAATCAAAGCACTGCATGGCAGTGACAATTGTTGTTCAGGTTAAATGACCTACAATAAACCAGAGGCACTGAGTGCACTGCAGGACACAGATGTGACTGGTCACTAGGGGTCTTGCAGCCTGTACAATCCAAAACACACTGTAGAGAGGAAAAAATAATCTGTAGCATCAGTCCCAGTGTTCAAAAGGGAAACTGAGGCACAAAGAAATCCATTGCTTTTCACGGGAGGGAGAATACCTGAGGTGTCATGGCCATTGTGACAAACACTCCTTGCAAACACCAAAAACATTCTAAAGACAGACAAGCTGTTCAACTGCTTTGGACAGGTTGGGTGTGAGATCTAAATCCATGGCTTTAATTGCTCCCGAGGAGGTGATGTTTGCCTGGGAAGAAGTTTCTCATGCTCTGAAATACACGGGCTGTGTTCACTGCCTACAAATTCTGAGCAGGACATACCACCCCAGCTGCAGCTTTAAGGATGTGAAAACTAAAGACCTGGTCACAAGCCGTGGCAGGACAAGGAGTGATGGTTTTAAACAAAAAGAGGGGTGGTTTATACAAGAAGCTTTTTACAGTGAGCATGGAGAAACACTGGCTAGAGAGGTGGTGAATGTCCCATCCCTGGGAACATTCTAGGTGAGGTTGGGCAGGGCTCTGAGGAATCTGGTCTAGTGGAAGATGTTCCTGCTCTTTGCATGCAGGCTGGACTAGAAACAACTCAAAGTATTCTGTGATTTTCAGTATGAAAATAAATGTGAAATTAACAGAATTAAGACCTACTAGTGTAATAATTTCTGGGGGGAAAGTTCCACATTTGCAATCTGGTGTTGATTGGACTTCTGTCACTCAGGGCAGATCCACAGCATCTCTTTTGCTCTCCTCCTTGAAAAATCTTCTCAAAGTGGCCTTTTGCTGACTTGTTTTCAGTCAGTACATCCTTCCCACCTCCCCCTCCTGCTCCCCAGTCTGGCTGCATCAGTCAAAGCCCTTTTCCCACCCTGCAGTGTTTTGTTCTGATCACTTGCTGAGGTTTCTACTGTCTCACCGTGTCCCTGATTTCCTGCTGGCTGCAAAGAAAGGAAGTTTGCCACTTTCTAACCCTGCCTCTAATCCTGAGACTGCAGCACAGCCAGACTCCATCAGAGAAATCCAGTGAAGGAAATGATTTCACACCAAGGAGATGTTTTGCAGGTGTTCACAGCTCCGGCAAAGAGTTTGTAG